TTTTTCCTTTCGTTTCAGGCAAGCGGATGTGCACGGGAGAGGCGGCCGCCAATATTCAGATCATGTACCTTAAGGGTATTAAAGGGGTACGGAAACAAAAATTGAAATATTCAGATTTCGTTCGGAAATGAGTCAAGCATGACGTATAATAACCGTAAATGATAATCGCGTGTTTGTATTTTGAACGATTGGCCATATTTTTCGTTCGTGCACTCGAGCAAGCGCTCGAAGAGAAGCGAACGGAGAGCGCGATGCGTCATGGGATATCCGGCGCAAATAAAAACAGAAAGAAAAGATTTCCCGCGTTCATGGAGTAGCAAGGCAGGCGTGGTTATGAGCTTTGCCCTTGGTGGCGTTGTCAGCGTTGTGATGGTGTCAATAGCGTCAGCGCGTTACAACCGAGCCGCTCGAAGTGCCCGTGGGGTGACGAGCGTGTGGCTGGCCCAAGGAGCACGTAGCTTCCACAACACTGTCAGCTTAGCGCTGAACAGGATGGGGAAAGCAATTTTTGTTCGAGTTTTGAGCGACGTGCTAGTCTTCTAGGGGGAGAATGGCTATGTCCGGTTGCACGAACGAGGGTCCGAGAAAGAGGGGAGTCCTTCCGTTCCGTCTTCTTGAACCGTTTGGTACAATGCGCGACTTGTGAGTTGAGGAGGAAAGCTAAGAAGGAAAATGTTGAAATACCAAAGAGCGGCGCTGCTCCGAAGGAAACTGCTACGTCACGACTACGTAGCAGATTCCACAACGTTGCCAGACTACCTCCCAAATAGGCTCAGCATGCATCCACCAGGTGCACATTAAAGATCGTTTATTTAGCTTTAAAATTAGTTTTCTAGTGCTTTTCAACGGAAGACTGGTGTTTTTGAGGTTAGGGTGCAACATGCAACACATTAAAGCCAGAAAATGAGCGCTGAAATTTCGTTTCCCTACCCCTTTAAGGGTATTCTGCAGAAGTTCCACGTGACGCCCGAAGATGGCGTCGTGGTCGACCTGTCCACGGACTGCGTGACCATGAAAAGTCCGAAAACGCAGAAGTTGCGCTTCATTCCGCGAACGTAAACTACCTATATTGCTGCCAATCGTTTTCTTCATTTTTTACTAGCTATTACGCCAAAGTTGACTTAATAAAGTATACAAATCGAAATTTTTATTCTGTTGTGCATTAAATTTTGCGAGAAATATCTTTTTTTTAAATAAGCACAGTCAGAATTGTTTGAAGACGTGGCGCGCTGCTTGTAGTAGTGCAGCGTTAGAAAAAAGGGTCAGTATAGTCCTCCCTAAAGGGAAGAACGTTCTTGACACATATGTTCCTTCAGAAAGGGAGAAACTTTCGTCCCTAAAGCAGGGAAGCAAAAGTTCCTCCGTCGCCTGCATCTCATTATGGCGGCCATGAATCGAGCAAATCGAGCTCAATAAGGCTTAACAAGAACACAAATAAAAAATGAAAGCCGTTTACAACTCCCTGTAACGCCGAATTTGAGCGCAGCTCTTGAGGAGGAGGAGGGAAGGGTACTGGGGGGATCAGTTGACCTCTGAAGGGGGGGGTCACGTGACGATGACGTCATCAGTGATGATGACGATGACGATGCGGATGCCGATTACGTCATTGGCATCCGCATCGCCATCGTCATCATGACTGATGACGTCATCAGTGACGTCACTGATGACGTCATCGGCATCGTCACTGATGACGTCATCGTCACGCGACTCCCCCCCCCCCCGCCCTAGGTCCTCCCGAAGGAGCCCGAGGTCCTCCCGAAGGAACCCGAGGTCGTTCCAAGGTCCTCCCGAAGGAACCCGAGGTCCTTCCGAAGAAACCCGAGGTGCTTCCGAGGTCCTCCCGAAGGAGCCCGAGGTCCTGGGGGGGTCACGTGACGATGACGTCATCAGTGATGATGACGATGACGATGCGGATGCCGATGAAGTCATTGGCATCCGCATCGCCATCGCGACTGATGACGTCATCAGTGACGTCACTGATGACGTCATCGGCATCCGCATCGTCATCATCACTGATGACGTCATCGGCATCCGCATCGTCATCATCACTGATGACGTCATCGTCACGTGACCCCCCCCCCCCCCCCCCTAGGTCCTCCCGAAGAAACCCGAGGTCCTCCCGAAGGGGCCCGAGGTCCTCCCGAGGCCCTCCCGAAGGAACCCGAGGTCCTTCCAAGGTCCTCCCGAAGGAACCCGAGGTCCTTCCGAGGTCCTCCCGAAGGAAACCGAGGTCCTCCCGAAGGACCTCGGGTTTCTTCGGGAGGACCTCGGGTTCCTTCGGGAAAATTTACCCATAATGCACCGCGCAATTACGCCGACGCCACTCAAGCCGGAAACGGGCGCCTAAGAGCTGCGCTCTAAAACGTAACGCAAGCTTTCTGCGAACAGTATTTATTTCCGAGGCCGGCTTCCCCCTGCAGGTAAAGAAACTTACGTTTCAAAAGCATGCAGTCACTCAGTCTTCTCATCGTCAGCACTGCAATGTTAAACGGAAACAACCGGCACCCAGTTCGTGCACTTTATGTGCTATTCCTCGAGCCACGATTCCTTCGTCAACTGTTGCGTCAACCGCACATGACGGAGGAGTGGTAAACCGCTCTAAAGCCGCTCTCAAAAAAAGCAAATCCGAAGCAGCCTCTTGGCTTATCTCAGCACAGTATGAGACAAAATTATGGTGTAGCCACATAGCATAAAAGAAGGTTAAATCACTTGCCACCAGATGGCAGGGTCAAGCAGAGTAATCGCAAGTAGCTAGGCTAGGTGACGCTAGGTACCGCCCAATTCATGTTCTACAAAAAACATTTTATTTTCTCACGCCACCATTGCACTTGGGATCTTCGTGAACCTCTATTATACACACGTGTAGACACATTACTCATACTACAAGTATCAGCTGAACATACATTGAGCACATACACATGCATCCCACATACAAACATCAATACAACACACTCACCCAATCACTACTCCCAAGCTCTGTTTCCGTCTTCTATACTGGTCGTTTTGAACGTACGGAATTTCTCAGTGACTCCCTAAGCAATAAAAAATATTCCCAGCATGTTGATTTTTTTCCAGCAATGTCGTACATCTGAGAGTATATTTAATGGCTCAGGGGATGAATCTCTTATTTAAAAAAAACACTCAATCATGCCGTAATTATTTCAAAACCAATAAATCGAGCCGCTCCAATGCGGTTCCAAGTCATGAGTTTGTTTCCCCGCACGGCACTTCGTAGCCAGTATTTCTATTGTAGTGTTTGTTTTTCTATTTGTGCTGTTTGCGCACGGCTGCCATTGCCGTCTTGAATTAAGGAGAAGACAACATTTGAGGATGATAAATTCCAGCGAAAATGTGCCGTTGGCGCTCAACGTGTGCTGAAACTTCTTGAAGAAGTGGAACCTGGCCATGTTCTTTGCTTTGATAGCTTTTTTACCAGTTCATCTTTACTGGACGAGCTCAAGCACAGGGGCTTTGATGCTACAGACACGGTCATGCTGAAGAAAATTACCACAGAGATAAAACCGAAATTGCATCGGGACAAACAGATGTCTGCGAGAGGAAGAGGCACTCATGTTGAGTTTGTCAAGGAAGATGATTCCCTCGCACTTGTGAAGTGGCTTGACAAGAACGGGGTGATTTTACTGTCCATGGTGGATTCTGCAAAGCCCAATGAATGTTACGTGCTGGTCAAAGACCCATAAGGCATAGATTAGTGTTTCTCGGCCAGCTTTGATTAAAAATTCAAAACTTACAACGAAAACGTGGGTGGAGTGGACATTTGTGACTGCCTTCCGAGGGCTCATGCGAGGTTCATGTTTCATTTGGTCGACCTCGCCACTGTAAACTCGTGGTTTCAGAATCTTGAAGAATGTATCCAAACTGAGACGCCCAAGAAGGACATTTTTCAGTCTTTCAATTTCAAACTCCAAATCAAGAAAAGACTGCCCGGAGATGCTTCCAACACCAGAAATGATTTCAACGTGGGAAGTTCTCACGAAAAGTCACAGTAGTATCAACAAAAGACACCCCCACTTTCTCAAACCAAGCTTTGCGTGAACAATGCAGACCAGATGCCCGAAGTAGCAAATGTTGATCCTAAGCAGTACCCATGTTGCATTCTGCAATGCACGTTGCAAAATTCGCTGCACAACGTGAAATTTTTTTTGTGTGTGTTTGGTTGCTCAAAGAAACTGCTTTTTCCCGAATTCCATAAGCGGTAATAGTTTCCATAGCATTGCAGGTTAGTGTGGAAATGGCACGTCTTTTTGTTGAATAAAGTGGAACACAAAGAGGCTGCCTTCAGTTACATCTTTTTCACTGGAACCCAATGTACAGTATACTGTACTACGTGCCAAAACAACCAATCTAATAAACTGATCAAGCCAAATTAATTGTTTTGCTCTTCCTTGGACCTTAGACACCAAATTGTATTGCAAAACAAAAATTCTTCTGCCCAATATTTTTCAGGTCTCTGGAGGTTCAACACAAAGGCAAGGGGACAAGCAAGAACATTTAGTAGCAATGTTTTATACATGCTTCTTTGTAGAACATACTTCCTGCTGTGATTGGCAGTGAAAATTTCTTTGCAAATAAATAAAAAAAATGATGAGCTATAAGTAGGTTACAGCTCAACAATGTTGGGCGAGGGAAAAAAAGGCTGGAGAGGAGGAAGCAGACAGAACGCTAGAGAGGAGAGGGGAAATTTCCCTCTCCAGTGCTTTATCTGCTTCCTCCTCCCTGGCCTTCCTTTCTCTTGCCCTATCTTCTTGAGTTGCAACAGACTACAGACACTTCTTAGCATGGGCATTACCTTTTACAAGGTCATTAGGCTTCTGCTTTACTTTATTGCCTCATTGCCGAGACAGAAATGGGTTCCTCGGCTGCTGTTCAAGGGACATCAGGGTCCCTCGAGGTCTAAAAGTTTGCAAACCGCTGCCTCAATCAATTCTCTTTGTGTAATTGAAATTCATGGAAAAATAAACACATTCATGACATTCATCTGTCTTGAGAATGGCAACACTCAGCCTGAACTATTGGCTTTTATTTGCCAAGGCCATGAGTGATACTGCTTGTAAGATGATGAATGAAGGCACTGGGAAATATAGTTAAGTGTCAAACTTGTCGAGACAAAAGGCTGTCCCATGCTCTTCATACTGTTTCTTGGTGACAACTTGCTTCGTCATGTCAGCATCCTGAAAAGCCATTACTCCTCCCTCCCAGGCATAGGTGATGGGGCTGAAAGGCAAGTGAAACACGATTCAATTATAAAAGTTTCTAACGGCAATTATGACCTATGTAGATTGCTTTCCTCACAGAATTTGAACTATTATCTGAAAGTCACTTCTTTTAAGTTTTGCAGTCAATTTTCTTTTTGTTTCATATAGATGCAATATAATGTAATAAACCTGCGTGATGCACATGTTTAGTGTGGTTCGATAACCTTGGTGTCAGTCAAGTGTTCATAGCCAAGAAAGGATATTTTTAAAATGAGGATTAAAGATACACTAAAATAAAGAAAAAAATTTTTTTTTTTTTTAAAGTGGTTCTTAGGTGGGATACACACCGTAATCCCTTGTTATTACGAAATCGCTTTTATCGAAGTTCGATGTGATCCCGACCGAAATGCATGCATTTTTATCCGGATTATTCTATGTGTATCGGCGGCCAGCCATGCTTATTACGAAGGCTGCGGTGCCGAAAGCATGCAAGCCTACAAGGGGTCGCACGGAGACCCTTGTGTTCCCTCCCCCTTCCCCACCGAGGAAAACGGCGAATTGGGAAAACGGTAAACAAGAAAACAGAGTGACCGAGTGACGGAGGGCAGAGCGCGCAGAGCACCACTTCCGATGCGGGGACACGGGTAGGGGGCGGTCGTAGCAGGCAGCAGCGGCGCAGCGTACACATTCCGACGCTACTCATGGCACCCGCAATCGACGCTGCCCGACTCCTGTCGGAATCGGGTCAAGGGAACGATGGAGCCCAGAGGAGATCAAGCCTTTGGGAGCACCTGTTGCACGTGCCTGTGGCGTAGTACACGCACATGTGTGTTATGAGAGATTGGGAGTGTTTACCGAAAGTCGCTTAGATCTGCGAGGTTGAGAAAAGTGGCCGGCCCAAGTCCGAAAGCGCCAAATAATTTGACATTCCGGCATCGCCTGTTTGACACTGTCCACCATTTTGCAGAACAATAGGTTTCTCATGCAAGAGAAAGCGCGCCTGCGACCCAAAGATGAAAGTTCGACAACTGCTTTGTGACCATCAGACTTTCTTTCGCGAGCATGCTTGCCGAGCCGGCGCACGACTCCCAGAGCTGCAACGGTCTCTACAGGAGTGCGTGAGAACATGTTGGCAAATTTACCGAGGATAACTTTGATTCGTTCGTGCCTGTCGATGCGGACATTCCCGTTGTTGCTCCTGCCACAAATGCTACGATTATATGCCTTCGGTGATGTGATTGGCCTAAGCCATTTTGGAGCACCTTTCGGAGCAGCCAAAATGGTGTTTTGGAGCAGCAAAAGTGGCTTTTAGAGCAGCCAAAACAGTGTTGCGGAGCAGCAAAAGTGGCTTTTGAGGCAGATATTCTTAAAAAAATAAAAACAATATTAGTTTTAAATGCTGGACAAACAGAGGGCACTTTGCTCGCCGCAATACACAAACTATGGTCAAGTTAGAACAACTGGGAGTCTTTCAAGATTCAACTGAAATGCCAATGAAATATTTTGCAATGCTTCAGTTAAATGATACATATATATGTACCCGCTATAGATAAATAAGAACCAAACTGCACATATTAAAATTTATCTGAAAATGACCAGCTTAGTAGTAAATATCACAGCTTTAGGTTGACTACTTAAATAATATAATAAAATAAAAAGCAGTCTCCGACTGATAAAACATGTAACTACTGCAGTGCAATGTGAAATTGTACACAAGACAAAGGTTCATTACTACTAGCGGGTGCTCTTCGTTTTGCTTTTCGAAACTTTCTGCAAGGCTGCAGCAAGCCTCCCTTTGCGTCCAGCTATTAATAAATGTCCACTTTCAATGTCTCCAAAGAGACATTGAGACATCTCACAAGTACACAGTGCTGTAGGCGTTGCCGAGCAATCCTGAAAAACCGCTTGCCACCATTTTACTAGTTGCCCACGAGCCAGATTTTCGTCAAAAGGAAGCAAACGTAAAACAAAGAATTGCAAGCGTCCCTGTTTGTGCCTCTGTAGTGCAATCATGTTCTCATGCACATGAGGGTAACTTCGGCAGGCTTGCAGTTGCACGTGCTTCGTTGCGCGAACGGAAATGATTGTTCAATTAAAACCGAAACCATGCCATTCCGTTCCGTCGCCAACTGGTTCCCCAAATTGAATGCAAAATGTAACTGTCCAGCATACGACAAAAAAAAAGTACAACAGCACGTGCTTGCCAGGTTAGCAGGCGAGGTACAAGCTAAAAACACGGAGAAAAAGAATGTGTGCGCATCAATGCAAGATACTGCCTTCTTTGTTTTAGCTAATTTTTCTTCATTAACTTTCTTTCGCGGCAGATTTTTCACATACCGGGGTCCCTCTTAGAAGAAAACCTACCGAGAGACACCTAGGTAATCAATACTCCGACACAGCAGTCTTTGAGTTAAAGAGGGGTTTTTGTAGTCGCGTTTGGTTTAAACAAGAACGGGAATGTTGATAAACATGAGGTGCTCCTTGTCTCAGTTTAGAAAGCGCCATATTAGCAGCGACGTAGGGACCAAGTATAGTTTTCCCACTGCCGTTGCTTTCAGGAGCGAGTGCTTCAGATCACAAAGTAACTCCCGCCGCGCAAAAACGTGGTTTCGTTCCACAGCATGACGGCATGGCTGGTACCTGGCATGTTGGCGTCGGGGTATCCCACTGATCTCTATGACAATTGCTAGATCGCGCTTCCCTGCTTCGAGCCCATTGCGTGATTGAGGCCACCGGTCGGCCATCTTACGAGTGCCGCTGAAGCGTTGTCAAGGCTGCGGTCACGCGACCTTTGCCTCTGTTTTCACGTGACCTACACACGGTAACCATGGTAACCGTCTAGGCTTGACAGCGCTAGAGCATATCTCGTAAGATGGCCGACGGTGGCCTCATTTTCGGTGAGAGGAAGCGCGATCCAGCAATTGTCATAAAGATCAGTGGGGTATCCGCACTCGCCCGCGTCTATCGTTGAATAAATTATAAAAAGAGGTGACACGAGACACGGGACGACGAGAGCAAAACGAGAGACGGCGGGAAAAACCATGCAAGACCGGATGGACGATTGATGCAGGGCACTTTGTGTCAGGCGGCCGCTTGCGTCATCTAGCCCACGAATGCTCAATTACGGATCTCAGTTTAGTTTCGGTTTTGAAAGGCGACCAAAACTGGTCCTTTGCTGCAGGCTTGGCGCAGATTACCCATATTTTGGTAAAATGTAGCAGGATGTAGCAGGGTTAACCCCTTGGCACAGTTTGGTGCAGCAATCACATCACTGCACCTTGCGTGCGGCCAGGGTAAACACAAAGCGACGTCGAAGAGGCACCTCGGGAAACGCCGATGACTGTGGAGGCGCAAAACAACCTACGGCAGCTTCGAAAGAAAGTGGAGTGCTGTGGCAGTGACGGTGTCCTTGCGAAGCCTGGAGCAGTTCGAGGAGAACTGATGCCCGGATAAAATTCTCGGCGAACTCCACTTACTTATGTTTTTATTCAGTAAACCTGCTGCAGGACATTCATAACTGTGATGATGATGCTAGCGGCGCCATGCATCCGTGGCGCGAGAATAAAGACAAGAAGTGTCTGGCATCTCGAGCTGCCTGCACACGCACGCTGAGAACGATGGTGTTCATTTCTTCCTGTCCCCCGGTTTACTCGGGAAAGCTTATAACAAATTGGCGACGAGGGTAAAACCTGTATTATCTCCTTACGGCAAGCCTTAGCCGTGTTCAGCTCCACCATGCCGAAGTACGGGACAATGGAAGTCTTTGACGGGGAACCAGCGGACTGGTTAGAGTACATGGAACGCACCGCGCTGTTCTTCGAGGCCAACAGCATTCCTACTGCAAAAAGAAGGTCAGTTTTTCTGACGTCCTGTGGTGCTAAAACGTACTCCATTCTGCGGAGCATTCTGACCCCCAAGGCTCCTAACGAAGTGAGCATAGAGGAGATTTTTGGCGCTCTCAGCAACCACTTCACCCCAAAACCCTCTGTGGTAGTCACCCGCTGCAAGTTCAACAGCCGATGTCGACACACGGGAGAATCTGTGAGCGACTATGTTGCCGCACTCAAGAAGCTAACCGAGCACTGCGAGTACGGAACATTCCTGAATGACATGCTTCGCGACAGACTTGTCTGCGGCATCAATGACTCCACAATGCAGACACGGTTGCTTGAAGAGCCCATTCTCACGTTCGAGTCTGCGATACAGCTTCTACTAGCGATGGAAACTGCGAAGAACGATTCGAACTTGCTAATGAAACAAGGAAAATGTCAAGTGGCGTCCGAAGGTATCAACGTGGCCAAAGAAGCTTCATCGAAAAGCATCACTTGCTATCGTTGCGGAGGGCCTCATTATGCGTCTGTGTGCAAGCACTCGAAAACAAAGTGCAACGCATGCCACAAGACGGGACACCTTGCCAGTGTGTGCAAATCAAAGAAGCAGCAAGGCCAATCCAACAATTCCGGACAGAAGAAAAACGCTCACAAGCGTCCTGTCTATGCTGTTGACAATTCCGAACAGTCGTCCACGAGTCAGCCACCCGTGACGTACAACATGTGGTCACTGAAATCCTCCATATCATCACCTCCATATGTTACTACATTGGAAGTGGCGGGGAAACCACTTCGGCTAGAAGTGGACACCGGAGCCAGCGTCTCCATCATCGGACAAAGAACTTTCGTAGAAGAATTTCCAGAGCTTCAATGTGAACCTTCGGATGTCATCCTAAGAAGCTATCGCGGTGACCTTTCTAAGGTTCAGGGAAAGGTTGTCGTACCTGTTCGATTTTTAAACAAAGAAGCAACGCTTCCTTTGTATGTCGCACGTGACCAGACTCCCACACTCCTTGGAAGAGATTGGATCAACGCCCTTGGAATAAGTTTGGCCGATGTGAAAGAAGTTACCGCTGCATCCAGCATGGAAGCAATTCTGAAAAATCACAAGGAAGTGTTTTCCGACGGACTAGGAACGCTGAAAGGTGTGAAAGCTAAGATCACCATCCAAGAGGGAGCGCGGCCCAAGTTCTTCAAGCCTCGCACGATTCTGTTTGCGTTACAGGACAAGGTTGCTCAAGAACTGCAACGACTTCAGCGCGATGGAATTATCTGTCCTGTGAGAACATCCGAATGGGCAGCACCGATCGTGCCTGTTCTAAAGCGTGACGGCCGAGTGCGGATCTGCGGTGATTTCAAGGTTACTGTAAATCCTGCAACCATTCTCGAGAAGTACCCGGTACCCAGATTGGAAGATCTGTGGGCCAAACTTTCAGGAGGCGTCAAGTTTACCAAACTGGACCTGAAGGACGCATACCAACAGGTGGAGCTCGAGCCTGAGAGTCAGAAGATTGTCACCATCAACACTCCAAAAGGACTTTTTCAATATACCAGACTACCATTTGGAGTATCCTCGGCTCCTGCAATCTTCCAGAGAGAAATGGAAAACCTACTGCAGGATATGCAACACGTCGTCGTATACTTTGACGATATTCTCGTGACTGGACTCAATGACAAAGACCACCTAAGAAATCTTGAACAAGTGCTGCAGCATCTAGAGGACGCAGGTCTCAAGCTCAAGCTTGAAAAATGCACATTTATGGCCCACGAGGTGGAATACCTTGGGCATGTGATTGAAGCTGGAGGACTGAAGCCAACGCCACGCAAGGTAGAAGCTGTCCTAAATGCGCCTCGACCAGTTGACCTCAAGCAGCTTCAAAGCTACCTTGGACTCGTCAACTATTACCGGCGTTTCCTTCCCAACTTGTCCTCAGTACTTCAACCATTGTACCACCTGCTCGCTGCGAATACATCATGGCGATGGGGGCACCAAGAGGAGAAGTCTTTTCACAAGAGCAAAGAGCTCTTGACGTCTGCAGCAGTACTTCAACACTTTGATCCTAACAAAAAGATCATCCTCAGCTGTGACGCATCTCCTTACAAACTCGGCGCTGTCCTTGCCCATCGAGATTCAAGGGGACAGGAACGTCCCATAGCCTTCGCCTCGAGAAGCCTCCTACCAGCTGAGCAAAATTACAGTCAGCTTGATAAGGAAGCCTTGGCACTCGTTTTCGGAGTGACGAAGTTTCATCAGTATCTTTGGGGTAACCAGTTTGAAGCCGTCACTGACCATAAACCTCTCCTTGGACTTCTGGGCCTTGACAAGGCCATTCCAGAGAGAGGATCACCTCATGTCATACGTTGGTCAATTACACTAGCAGCGTACAAGACAAGCTCGTCTACCGACCCGGCCCGAGCATAGGTAACGCCGATGCGTTGAGTCGCTTACCGTTACCAGTGGACAACTTCCAACTTCCGCGGCCAGCTGATGTACTCATGTTGGAAGCGGCGTACCCTGCTGTTCTCTCCGCCGCAGTCGTTGCACAGCATACCGCGACTGACCCAGTGTTGTCACGAGTGAGACAAGCACTGTGGTCCGGTAGCGATCTCCCAGGAGGACCACAGTGGTCGCCTTTTCGAACAAAGCTGACAGAACTCAGCGTCCAAGAAGACTGTTTACTGTGGGGATCAAGAGTGATCATCCCAGTCAGGTTACAAGAGCAAGTACTTCAATTACTGCACGAAAGCCATCCAGGAGTGGAGAAGATGAAGTCCATTGCACAAAGTCACGTCTGGTGGGATGGGCTAGACCACAGTATCACGGCAAAGCTTCAAGATTGTCGTGAATGCCAAGAACATCACCGTTCCGACCGGAAAGTACAGTCAACCCCGTGGCCTTTTCCAGAACGGCCATGGTCTCGCTTACATGTTGACTTTGGTGGTCCATTTCAAGGACGTTATTTCCTGGTATTGGTCGACGCATACTCGAAGTGGGTTGAGGTCATACCGGTATCGTCACCCTATGCTGATGCTACGATCAAATGCCTTCGGAACATCTTTTCGACACACGGTCTACCAGATATTGTCGTTTCGGATAACGGTCCGGCCTTCGTAAGCGACAAGTACAGCGAATTCCTGAGCCGCAATGGGATCCGACGTATACTGATTCCCCCTTACCACCCAGCATCAAACGGAGCTGCGGAACGCGTCGTGCAGACCGTGAAAGGAATGCTGAAGAAAGCGTCATCTGGAGATTTTCAGACCAAGATTGACAGGATGCTTCTGACATACAAAACTACAAAGCATTCACTAACAGGTCATAGTCCAGCTGAGCTGCTAATGGGCAGAAAGCTAAAGACAGCCCTAGACCTCCTACATCCGGACATGCGGAGTGAAGTACTCTGGAAGCAGCTGAAGCAAAAGTTACGCTGTGACCAAAGAGCACGCAAAGGCCCTCTACCTCAGCATGGTCAAAAAGTGTTTGCCCGAAATTTCAGGTCAGGGCCTTCATGGCTTCCTGGGGTTGTTATACAACCATCGAGTTCATCATCTGTGCAAGTGGAACTGAAAGATGGGACTCGTTGGAACCGTCATGGTGACCATCTTCGAGAACGTCGTCGTCCGCCTGTGACACCCTACAGAGAGCACGGGGCAACCGACTCCACAGCTGAACGAGACACGTCAACCGGATCTTCCGGGAACGAAGATCATCATGGACCAACAACAGCACACCATGACATAGGACCTCCTCGAAGTCGGGAAGTTTCATGCCAGACGTTGCCAACCGTCCAGACTCCGAGTAGTCCCCAAAAGCTACGCTCTACGAGAGTAAAAAAAGCCGTAGATCGTTACAGGCCTTAGACCATAGTGACCCGAACTTTGACGTCTAGGTTGTGAGACAGTATTGTTATTCCTTCGTATAAAAAGGGGACGAGTGTGATGATGATGCTAGCGGCGCCATGCATCCGTGGCGCGAGAATAAAGACAAGAAGTGTCTGGCATCTCGAGCTGCCTGCACACGCACGCTGAGAACGATGGTGTTCATTTCTTCCTGTCCCCCGGTTTACTCGGGAAAGCTTATAACAATAACCAAGGCTTGTTTGATTAAATATATGGTCAGAGTGTTCCGCAGGTTGCCATCCAACTTCAAGGCTGCTGGCACTGTTCTCTTGGCTCTATCTGGACTTTGTACGAGCTCTTGTCTCCGTGAACGAAACTTGATCCATGCGAGTGGGCTTCGGCGGTTGGGGGTTGAACTTCGTACGAGCTCTTATACGTGTAGTCGTGGATATACCCGAGCGTGCCCCCTGGATACTAGCAATATATATCGCCTAAGAACGGTCGTGTTGCTTTTCGTGCTGAGCGAGCTTCACAGGGTGCTTTTCCTTCGGCAAAGGGCACCCCGAAAGTGCCCTAAAAAGGTTTGCAATTTATAAAGCATGTTTATTGTGGCGCGCCCCCGATCAGCAGTGGGGGCGCCTCCATCAGTGGAGACGTGCCACAGTACATGACATTTGCACGAAGTGTGTAAATGCAAAAATTTTACCCCCCCCCCCCAGATATCTGTCAATTTTTCGGGAAAAAAATGTGTGTTCATACGCGAGTAAATATGGTATAGAATTTTTCTGCCGTACTCTTTACTTCGTTAGAATGAGGGATTACTGCAAATTAATCTTACATGTTAATTAATAAAACAAATTAATCTTGCATAGAAAATAAAAAAGTTTTACTGCAATATTTACACAGCGAGATGCAATTTAGGTGGAGGTGATCCTGCTCTAGGCCCTGCCCATTAGTGGAAGGTGCTTTGCTAGCTAAGCACTGATTTGCAGCTCTCAGTGGCAGGAGAGATGATTGATGTGTGGAATGTTAGTTATAAAATTGTTTCCACGTGTCGTGATAGTCTTTTTTTCGATGTTTTTAGGTTCAATGAACAGACAATCTAGATAGAGTCATTATTGTTTAAAAAAAATATCACAAGATCGACACTTCCACTTTGATTTCGAACGACAAAAAAACTTGGCTGCTGGAATTTGTGGTAAGTGGTTCAATACACTGAGTAGCCCGTTGAGCTCCTCAATTTACCTATATGAGTGCGCGTCATTTTGCACTTACCAAGATGTTTAGAGGAAGGTCTCGTCAATCAACCTAGTTTGTAGCAAACAACTACCGAACGCACCTTCGGAAGCATTGTGAAGGCTAGTGTCCCACGTCAAATATTTTGCTTGATCTGGCTTGATTTGTTTGTTTGTTTGTGCCTGTTGATGCTGAATAAAGATGTCGGTTTCCATAAAAGCGGCCCCACTGCTCTGCAAATTGTGCAGTCATCGTGATTGAGACCATGGTTTCAGTACTGGCAGGACACCTACACAGGTAAAAATTTGTGAGCCATCTGGCCGAAAGCAATCGGGTGTTCGCCTTGCATCAACCTTGTCCAGGTATGTTCCCGACATTTCACTCCAGAAGGCCCGTGGCTCTCGAGTTTTTAGCAGTGCGCCTGGCATACCAAAGAGAGAACTTTTAGGTTGAGTTCTTAGCATGCGTCATGACGCTCACCCATCCTGTGCATATTGACAAAAAAGCTGAAAGGACTGCACATTTATTCTGTTGATTTCTTTTAATCCTTCAAGTCGCCTTTCTGTGCGCATCAGCAGACACTGACTGACACTTGTTTTAAACCGTGGCTTGTGAGTGACGGAAAGCTGGACCACCGCCTTCGTGGGTGTGTCTTGTGGACGTTGCAGATGGTGGTAGAGTTTTGATAGCAGACAATGCCGTAAGCTGCCGCATGTCCGCTCGCACGACCAGCAGGCAGCATCAAACGGCAAACTAGCTGCACCGAACGTCGGAGCAGGAAGACATTAGGCTTGCATACGTGTTCGGCCGATCCAGTAGTAATGGGCGGGGCAGCTGATCTGTGGGTGGGGCTAAGGCGGCCCACGACCTCCAGCAAAACCACATCTCTCGGCATAAATTTTGCGATAAATGATTTTATTTTGTAGAAAATTTGTTTGTGTCATACGTGTCCCATCTAGGCACTTAAAAACAAAAAAATGTTCTTTTTCACTTCAGTGTTTTTTTCAGGGCATTCTTAAAATAAAAACGTTCTGACCACCACTCACTTGTCAGGGGCTGTGACGTTGACCTCAAAGACCTCAGGACAAAGGCTCCGCAGTTCTTTGTACCTAATTTAAAAAAAGAAAAAAAAAACATACAAGGAGAGTTTGTTCAACATGAGTCAGGTCATTAGAGACACACAGCATCTATAATGCAGCCAAGGACCATGTTTTTAATGATTTCAAACACACTGTCTCTTTGTCCCCATTTCTTTTTTTCAGGATCAACAGTTATTTGTTTTTTGCATTCTGCAGGAGCACTATTTAGCCAAAAATAAAATCTCATAAATAAGACAGTGCAATAAAATTTTTTCACAAAGGTGTGCTAGGTGGTTAATTTATTGTACTTAAATTTGAGAATTAATCTTAAAACGAAAACTGAAAAACAAAGAACAAGAAAAGCATGCCATTCTTCTGTACAAGATAAAAATAGAAACAGAATATGTATCTGGGTGATGCTGCTACTCCCAGATGGTAGAACATGAAACAAAAACATGAAATAAATCTTTGAGTGTGTGATGCGTGTCTGCACGTCGACTAGAAGGTTTGTTTCTGTTTTTCTCCCTGTGCAGAGGAATAACCTATTTTTATTTTCTTGCATTCCTTTATAAAAGCCTACTGAAGAATACCGTGCATTCGCCCCTTCTGCACTAAGCGCCCACCCCCGAAATTTGGAACATTTGAAAAGATATGCACAGTACATATAATGCAAAACTGATGACCTCACATGTGCCTATCCATCCCCTATTTTTCGCGATTATCTTCAAATTTTGAGTGGGCGCTCGCTCGGTATTTCATGGTACACTCACAACATTTGAGTTTGATGGATGCAAAGGTGCCACTATGAAAAATTTAAATGCACTTCACTCACTGGCTTATTAATAAATGTTTTCATGTCTAAATAGCGCTTGCAAAAACCCTGCAGATTTTATGCACGATTGGCACGCAAATGTTTGATAGAGCAAAAATTTAAATTTAGATTGAATGAAATATGAAAAGTTTGAAACAACTAGGACAGGACTGGTATTCCGTGTTGCCAGTTGCAATGCATTCTTAGTAGAGGTGTGCAAACATTAAACGCTTTCAATGGTTAGCAAAGAGTGTTTCCCACTTGGCTGAGTTTGTAATACACTGTTACTACTGGAAATACCAGAAATTTTTTAATATTTTAAAGTTTTAAACATCTCTAAAAGTTCCAATTCTTTTCAACTTGTAGTCACATCCAGATTATTTGGGGACGACAAGAGTTGCTCATTAGTTTGCTCAGTATGGTTTAAAATTTTAACTCAAAATGTGTTTTATCTTGTAAAGAAAAAAAGAATACCTTAAAATCTCAGCTAAGCCTGGGAATAAATACTCGTCGAAATGTGGGACATCAGAAAATGAGCCAATGTCATAAACAGGCAGTGGTGTTAAGAAACAGGCACACTCAATTGGCCATGGCTACTCTTTAGGAAAAGGATAGTTTTATTTATACTCATTTTCACCTCAAGAACTGTTGCAAAAAAGAGGTCCGGCTTCTCGCGGAGCATTACTAATTTCCCCCTTTTATGTGCAGAATTAAGATATATGTAGGAGCATTTTAGATTGGATACTATATGTTATTTTATCCGGACATACATGCTTAAATGCCAAAAGCATTGCTTCTTCCTCCGACAATCAAATTTTGAACAGCTACAGTAGGCTTGCGATAATTCAAACTCGGATATTTCATACTTCCGGTTAATTAAAACAAATTTCAAAATTTTTAGTTGTCTCGCTACGTTTTTAAGGTATTCACAAGGTGCTTAATTCGAATGGCGTTTTCGTGTAATTCATGCTTTTTGTTTACGCGGCCCCGTTGAGTGCGCTTCTTTCCGAGCACCAGTGCACTGCAGAGAGGAAACACATGCGCAGATTACTTGCGTGGGTGCTGCTTCTCTGCAGTGCACCAGTGCTCGGTGAGAAGAGCACTCGACGAGGCTTAAGCAGGTCCGATATGAGCTATGAAGAAGGGCACCACGCAGACATTTTCACAGCAAGTTACGTGGACATTGTGACGTGGCTACATGGCATAGGTCCACGTCACATTGTTCACGCAGGTTGCTATGAAAACTGCCGCACGGTGCCCGTTTTCATTGTTATCATTTGTCTCCTGCTTAAAGGGGTAGTGAAACGAAATTTTAGCGCCGATCTTGTTGCATAAATATGGGCTAGGGACAGGCACCACCTCGGAAATATAAATATTGCGCTGTAAAACACAGGAGAACTAATTTTAAACATAATTAAACGATTTCAAATTCTCATCTGGTGGATGGGGGGAAGTTCTCGTGACATCACTTGTGCCAAAATAGCAGCGCCGTTCTGCGGCAATACGGCGTGCCGGCAGAATTCGCCTAGGCCTGAACGCGTTTGCAAAGCCTTGGCGGAGGAAGCCAAAGCGTAGTTGGCCACAGTGAGCTCGTTCTCGTTGCGGCTCTTTGCACGAAACGGCCCGAGCATGCTAATGGCACGGCCGGTATTAGTTGCTGCGAGTCGCGAGCTGCAAGCCGACGTTAAAAAGGATATGTTTGAACTACGAGGGTGTCAGCAAGAGCCACGCAAATGCCAAATACCTGTTCACACTCGGAGCGGACGCGCGCGTTTGATCGAAGTGCTGGATTCGCTCTTAGACCGCGTTTCGGCAAGCGCTTCTGGACCGATCTTTTACGATTGCAACTCGATACTGACATGACACTCGGCAAAGAAAGGTTAGACCGACATCGCGTAGCTCCCACGAACTGCTATAGCTCGACACTGACGTAGCGTCGAGTCAGAATAAAAATGGCATACTAATAACAGAGTGTACATACCGAGTTGCCAAGGTAATCCGTATGGCGTTTATTTGAGTTCTATATCACACAAAACAAGGAGATAGAATCAATGAGAGTCCCTTTTCGACGACAGCGTTCGTCACCGCTGTCTCGGAAAACAAGGAGATCGAGATGACAAGGGGGAAATATTGACCTCTGAAATTTAGTTCAGGGATCAAACTACTCATCCGGTAAGGGTCCACAAGGGTCGCGCGGGCATATTCCATTCAGCAGGCCAGCCGGTCATGGACAGACGGTCTTGGCCAAGGACCGCCGGAGCAACGGTGCGCCGAGTCGATGTTGCTGCTAGGCCTACTATATTCTGCCGAGCTCGCTCGGTCGGCAGAATCGTGGCTGTTGTAGCTCTTCTCGTGTGTTTGTGGATCCTGCGTTCTTGATCGTCGTGGTCTGTTTTAAGTACTCCTTCCTTTTTTCTTGCTGGTTGAAGTCGGGACGCACGAGAAGAGCACGAAGAAAAATAAATGTCCGTTGGTGGCCGATACCAAGTAACTGAGCGACGCTGTCGGCCTTGTTGATTTGATCGTAAAAAGTGCGTAAGACAGCTTCGGAGCTGTCGTAGGATTCTGTCGTAACCTGCGCAAAGGTTACGACAATTTCGTTTCGAGAGCACGGGTTTTCTCTCAAATTTGTCGTACACACTTTTTTCGTCGTGAATTCGCTTTGAGAATCCGGCCTCACAGCTGGTTTTGTCAGTGCTGCCGTGGTTGCCGACTTGCCGTGGTGCAGCGTGCGTGCAGCCCTTGCGCATCTCAAACGGCGACGTTGTCACAGGTCGTAAATCGTCGACGCGCCACCAAGTGGCAACGCTCGTAACCACAACATTCACGCCGTAGCCTTTCCCGACCGGCACAAGTGACGTCACGAATGCGCCCAATATCCCAAGACGCATCGCGCTCTCCGATGGCCGATTTTTGAGCGCGCGCCCAATCGGGCCCATCAGGGTGAAAAATATAGCCATCCGTTCAAAATACAAACGCGCGATTATGATTTATGAATATCATTGATCATATTGAACCTATTTCTGACCATAATAGGTGTATTTCAAGTTTCGCTTCAGTATCCCTTTAATACTTCACACTAAACAACTTCTTGGCCCAATGAACAAACTTAATTTTGTCTTGAGTTGTCCACGCTGTCTAAACAGTCCACGATAAACAACCTTTTTAGGGATAAATAAACTTATCCATTACATTTCATAAATGTTTCATGTGTGGCATACCTGCTTATGGTCAGTAGGCATATGTAGAGGAAATCATCAAATATCTGCTTTGTAGGTGTAGCCATTCATATGGCAAATCGTAATTTTCATTGCATTATATTTGGATGAATTTCTGATAATTCAAACTTCTGCTAAGTCAACTGTCTGCTAATTCATACAGAATTCGTGGCTTTCTGGAGTTGGAATTAATGAGAATTTACTGTACACCAAGCGGCGTGTGACCAATGCACAAAACTTCCTTTTTTCTTGAGTTGAAAACGAGTATACTGTAAAATCCCAAGAGATGCCCCATCCGCGAAAGATAGCCCAGGCCTATTTTTGGCTTGATTCGCCTTATGTTCTTAAACAGCGAAAGATAGCCCACTCCTAGCAATAGCAGTGTTGAGACCAATGATGGGCGTAAATGCGCCTAAATATATCTTTGGCGGAATATAAGCAAACGTTGCTGACTATGAAGTAGTACTGTCATTTTTGCTTCGTAGCCCCTCGCCACCTTAAAGACCAATGACCAGTTCGCGCCTTCCACTTTTTCCCCGCTTCCTCCTCTCCCCCTTCTACCCTGTCCACCATTGCCTGTTTTCTCCTCCCCCAGAGTGAGGAAAAACTTCTGCCTTGCAGAATCTCTTGTCTGGTCGTTGGCCTTTAACAAGCTTGGAAGAATTTTTTTTTTTAACTTTTCTTGACAGTGGCGTACCAACTTGTTTTTGAGTGGGGGGGCAAACCAGACCCTCTCCCCCCCCCCCAAATCGAAAATTCGGCGCAACTTTTGTCCAACTTTTCTAAAGATTTGGCAATGATTCGGCAAAATTACAACGTTACCAGACTTAACATTGATATTTTGTTTTTTCTCGCGAAAAAAATTTTGCTTCTTCTTAAAATAAATACAACTTGTAGTGCCTATTGAAAGAGTTATGACTAAATAAGGTGATATTCTAGACGATAATTGTATCGATGTCGCTTTCGTGTGTTTACTTGTAATTTTGGTGTATGCTTCCAGAAAGTGGCGTGACAACGAGGTTGGGTAGTAGCCGGCACAGTCACGAATCACACTACGAGAGCTTTGATTTTGAGGCTTCATCAGCGCACGCCTGCAAGTGTGTTTACATTGTTAAAATAAAGGCAATCACTGCGTTCTTACTTTCTCTGGTAGTCGCCGTTTCGTGCGCGAAAACGGATGCAACGGTTGCTGAGCCTTCACCAGAAGAGATAACAATATTGTAAATATGCATGTTTTTCGATTTGAGTCACTTGACGTCAGCTTTGCATGAAAGTGCGCGTTCCGTATTCGCAACGTGCCGTTTTTAACCTTTAAAATTCCGGTTTCTGGTGTTCGGACACACACGGACGTTTAGGAAGATGGGGAGAGTTAGGAATGGTCGGATGTGCAACGTCGACCATGATAGTTCTGTGTTTAACGAATATTTTTCATCAGTGTTTACTAACGAGTGCTTGGACTCCGTCCCCACTCTCCCTGAAGAGCTTTACGAGCGCATGCATCCTATTAACGTTAACTCCGCCGGTATTATAACATTGATTGATAAACTAAAACTTACTTCGTCCGCTGGAACCGATAACATCAACTCTAAAATTTAAAAGAAACACCAGTGTTATTTCGAGTGAGTATTTAAAACTTATCTTTATTCAGTCCTTATCTCAAAGGTGCCTTCCATCTGACCAAAAGGTGGGAAGGGTAATTCCCAGTCTTTAAACAGGGCAGCCGCTCTTCCGCATCTAATTATCGCCCTAATTCATTGACTTCAATTTCTTGCAAACTACTTGAGCATATCCTCTACTCCAGTATCATGAGGCACCTATCATCCCATTTCTTTTCTTTAAACAGCAGCACGGTTTTCAAGAAGGTACACTCTCCGGCAATATGAAAGACCCACTGTGAGCGCGTGGCCGAGGCGGTGGCTGGCGGGGGCGCTGCGAGCCCTCCGGGCAATTCCATTCTGCTTCGAGGGGAGGACGCTCACTTGGGCTCAGATAAAGCGAAACGCGCTTATCAGTTTGTGCCGAGTGCCGAATGAGCGTCCTCCCCTCGAAGCAGAATGGAACTGCCCGGAGCGCTCGCAGCGCCCCCACCAGCCACCGCCTCGGCCACGCGCTCCCAGTGGGTCTTTCATATCGCCGGAGACTGTACTTTCCTGCGAAACACAACTCTGCGACTTCATCCATGACTTGCACACTAACCTTGAACCTTGAACCTTAAAATGAAAAAACTGACGCAGTTTTTTTTTTTTTTTTCCAAAGCGTTCGCCGTGTTTTTTATCAACGCCTTCTTTCTAAGCTATCATCTTTTTGCCTCGACCAAATAACCGTTTGCATAGATTCGTGACTTTCTTTTTTCCCGTGTACAGGTCACGTCCATGATGATCATGAATCTTCCTTAATAAATGTATCTCCTGGTGTTCCCCTGGGGTTCGTACTTGGGCCCTTACTCTTTTTAATATTTATTAATAACATCCCCATTAGGATTTCTTCAAAAAACCGCTTTTTCGCCGACGACTGCGTCATCCATAACAAAGTAACTTGTGTGCAAAATAATAACCAGCTTCAGGAAGATCTAGAGAAAATTAACAATTGGTGCAAAGAGTGGATTATGTCATTAAACAAGTATAAACGCAAACTAATCCACTTCACCAAGAAAAAAAACAAACACTGTCATTTAATTACTTCTTAAACTCCGATCTGATTGAGACCGCTACTGTGTATAAATACCTTGGTGTAAGACTAACATCTGACCTTCCCTAAAATAACCACATTGAAGTCATTACTGCCGATTCATCTGGAACTCTTGGACTAAGCAGACGTAACTTAAAAAGGGCTCCACCCTTTGTTCGTAAGCTAACCTTGGACACGTACGTCAGACCAAAAATAGAATATGCTTCAACCATCTGGAATACCCATCGACTGTACCTCATCAATACCCTGTAGAAGCAGTTCAGAACAGAGCTGCTCGCTTCATTTCATCCACTTATGACTTTTTTTTTCAGTGTCTCAGCGCTAAAAACTGAACTAACCATGTCCTCTTTGCAGCTTCGCAGAAAAGTCTCTCAGCTGTGCTTTATTCACAAAATCTACTACCACATTCCCGACCTCAAAACCACTTTGTTATTACCCCCCGACCGAACATCTTCTCGCCTCAACAACGTCTGCACCATCAAGCACATTTCTGACTCTACTAACGCTTTCAATTGGTCATTCCTTTCTCAAGCCATCAGCCACTGGAACAGTCCCCCATCCTCCATTGTCACCATCTTGGACCCTGCTGATTTCTCCTCTGCAGTAAAACTACACCTTTCTTGGCCCATGTGATGGTGTGCGGGGCTAGGCAGATAGGTGAAAACCCTTACGCAGAGCGCCTGCCGGGCCAGACTTGTACGTAGTTCAACTACTTTACTCAAGTTACTGTAGTTTAACTACTTTTCTGGGTAGTTTAGTAACTTTTAATTACATTTATATTCTAGTAATTCGTAGTTTACTTTAACTACTTTTCCGAGTGACTTCCACTCAAATTACAAATTACTTTCCAATTTTAGTGGTTGTTTTGCCTATCAACACAGAAAAGATGTCGGAAGGTCAGCTGATATTTGCAGAGGGGGAAGCATGCGGAGTAGAAAAGGGGGGGATGGGAAGGAAGAAAGTGATTTAGATAGTCCAAAAAACCCCAAAATTTTAACGAGCCCCCCACTGCAACAACACTGCTACGAGGCGCGGGGAGCGAACAGACACGACGCAAGAGAGGTCGAGTAACTGTGGGATTAGCTCCGAATAGTGGCGTTTCTTTGTATTCCGAAGCTCAAGGAGACTTGACGCATTTGAAGAAAGGGCTTGTCCCCGCTTCTCTCCAATGTAGGAATTCTTGCCCACTACAGGAGGTGCACACACTGCTCCTTTTACGGTGCAGGCGATAGAACCCCTAACAACGACGCTCACGCCGGATGGGCTGCTCGTGTATCACTCGAAGCGCGTTAACCCACCCCCGCGCCTGCGTTCACGCCGCTTCGCGGTGACGGTGTGCGGCTGCTAATTACAAATCTATTAACCCACCTAGCCCCCCCCACCCCCCGTACACGCCGCTTTGCGGCGTCCGGTCGGCAACCCAAGCCCCGCTGCCCCCCATGCACTTCCGTAAATAGAGTCGATACGATTTAGTTTAGCGATGTTTCGTCAACAACATTCGTTTTTTTAGTGTTAATGGTAAAAAAGAAATGTAAATATCGCCAAATGCCTCGACAAAACAAAATGTTCGAGAAAAAAAATAAAAAGAAGCCGGCCCACAACATAAATAGAACCCGGGTCTGACACGTATGAGGCAGACATCTCACCACTAAGTTACGCTACCTCTTCGGAAACTCGCATTGCATCCGCTGCCTATGTTGACGGCGGCAGCGCCTATCTCCAAGCAAGCAAGCAAAACTTTATTTTGTGTAAGGGCCTACGTCCTGGTCTGGACGGCCCGTCCGGCCCATGTCTCGCGGATGGATTCCGTTAGGTTACCGTGTAGCCTTGTTCGTGGGGCAAGGCTCCACAAACCAGCCAATCCGGCGTGCGTGAGCACCGTTGCTAGGGTTTGTATCGCCTGCGCGTTAAAAATATGCCCGCGCGGGTCGGGGGGCAGTGCCCTTGGTATTTCTTGGGCGCCGCCGGCCTGTGTCTGCTCTGCCCAGTGGCGGCCGTTTCAGGGGGGGCAAAACGCATGCCTTGCCCCCCCACTCTGAGAACTGGGGGGGCAAGTGCCCCCCTTGCCCCCCCGGTTGGTACGCCCATGTTTCTTGATTGTACACTAAAAGTTAACCCACTCTATATTTTCACCCGATTTGCTCTTGATGTTAGGTGGGCTATTTTTTGGGATTTTATGGTAGTTACTTTGTGCTCAATCTGACCACTTTGATCACTATCATAATCCGGGTGTTTGGAACCTTTGACACTCTAATGACAAACTGCTGGCTGCCGATGAAGGAAGATAGCCAAAGACACGCACCAAAGAGGACAACGGGAAGCCTGAAAATTTAAGACGTCAGCATGATATGATGCACAGATCAAATACGAGCACCGCTCCAGCATTCAATTCGGACTCCGGTCCAATCAATCAGTTGGCATACGCTTGGTGCACAAGCCCCTTATTGGGGTGAATTTTAACGAGGGCTTCACGAGAGCCAACGCCTCGTAAACGCTTCGTATAGGCTTGTAATTTCTTTGTCCCCATCGAGACATATGCCAATTGAGGAAAAGATTGCATGGCAAAGAACATGTCCCCATCTGCCATTACAAGAAAGAGACAGTGCCTAAGAAAATACTATAGTTTTACTGCCCTTAGTACGACAAAAGTAAGACTCATTTAAGCCAATAGATGGCTTTGAAATTCGGAAAGGGTCTTTAGTCATCCTCATTAAAGTTTGTGTAAAAGTAGAGTGAATGAAGAGACAGTTGAGAAAGAGACCGGCCAATAAGCCAATAAACCTGTTGTCAGTGGTCCGACTCTACTCACACTCTCTCTCCAAAGTCCGGGAAGCAGGCATTGCCTCCAGTGAGCAGCACATTCTTCAGCATATGGGGTCCCACATCTGCAGGGGGTGGGACACAACAATCAAGTTCTGAAGACAGCTGGAAGGCCAAGCCAGGGGCATTCTAGTCAACTAACCTGCCCACATGAAACAATGAGAAATAGTGCAACGCACCGTCAGTCTTTGACGCAAAGGTAAAAACAAAAGTAAAATTATGAAGAGTAAAAATGCCCCCGGGGAAGGGCGATAAACCAAAGACAACTGCCCTTCCCAGTCAGCAATGTTTTCTTATCTCCTGGCGTGGCTAAGTAACACCATTTCTGCCGAGGGAACTGCATTGGCCAGGGCCATGCATTTACTAAAAATAAGCTCTATTTCGGTGTTTTTGAAAAAAAAAGAACAACAAATCATATTAAAAATAGGGGGCGAGTTATCTTTCGGGGGTGGGGCATCCTGGGATATTACAATATACTCCGTTTCACTTTAAGTCCGACCACAGCTGACGCTAGGACCTGATGAAGCTAATCAAATAGCGCCAATTTGTCAAACTTCGGTTTGACAAATTGCACATGGGCACTAAGGCCTTCAGCTACGGCGCACTTTCAGGTTCCGTCATTGAAACTTCCCCATAGGACCGCGCAGGGAGTGGGAGCAGAATTGTTGCCGCTGTTAGCTCCCCAATTGGTGTTTTATACTTAAATGCACACAGCCTAATGCCAAAACGAGAGGAACGTTGTTCTCTTGTTTCCTCGCGTGATGCTAAAATTGTACTAATCTCCGAGACTTGGCTTCATCCCGGTTTAGACAGCAATGAAATATATCCGAATCACCCTAAGTTTATCATTTATAGGCGAGATAAATGTGGCCATCGTGGTGGCGGTGTTTTAAAGAGATACTTCAACGAAATTTGAAATATTCCCGTCGTGTTCAAAAATAGGTTGAATATGATCCACAATATCCGTAAATGACAATCGCACGTTTGTATTTCGAGCCTGGTGGCTGTATTTTTTGTTATAAACAGCCCACTCTGGCAAGCGCTCGGAGAAGGCCCAGCGGAGACCATGTGACATCCAACGCAATCGTGACGTAGGTCGTCTCAGGACGAGCGAGGCTGACGTCGAGAGGATGGCCTAGTCGTACCAGCCACCGAAGCGGCTGCTTTTGTATGAATTTTGAGTGACGGGTTAATCTTTTATAATCTTCTAGGGGCACAATAGCGACTTCTGCGACACACAAAAGGCATTCTCGGGAAGAGGGGAGTTCCTCCTGCCCCTCTTCTCTCGTCGTGGCCGGAAACGAGACAACCTCCATCACTAGCTGTCAAGGTTCCTAGACGAGCATTACAAGCGAGGCGTTAGCGACATCCACCAGGTGCTCTTTGCTAATCGTTTAATTCGTTTTAAAATTCCTTTTCGTGACTTTTTTAACCAGATAGTGGCATGTTCGATGTGATGCTGCTGTTTTGAACACGTATAGACCAAAAAATTAGCGTCGAAATTTCGTTGTAGTATCCCTTTAATATGCGTCCATGAAAGTATCCAAAGTTCCCTTCTCCTTATCTCCAGCGCTATCGAAGCAATCTGGGTCTTAATGAAATGCGGTTTTAAATCAATCTTGCTTGGCGCCTGTTACAGGCCACCCAATGCGTCATCTAATTTTGTGCCTTCTTCACATGATTTATGTGTGCTTTATGTGTGCAACTTCCTCACCATCCTGTTCTTTCATTTGGCGATTTTAACTTCCTCGATATTAAATGGAATTCACCTGGTAAAGATGGCATTCATGGTACCAGTGACTGTCGTAAGTTTGTGAAACTTTATTTAGATTTATATCTGTCCCAGATGGTTTCTTTTCCCATGCGTGTAAATGACATGTGTTCAAATATATTAGACTTGGTATTAACGAATCAACCTGAGTGTATCTCGTCGCTGTCTGTATTCGAAGGCACAAGTGATCACAAGGCAGTACACAGTGACCTAGCATTTCAAGCGCCTGAACGTATAAGAATTGTTAAAACGATAAGGCTATATAACAAAGGAAATTATGAGCAGTTTAACATGGACCTCTCAAATTACTTCTCAGTCTTCTTGGATAAATTTGATAGTAGGGATGTGAACAAAAACTGGTGTAAATTTAAGAACAAATATTTAGAACTTGTTAAAATACATGTCCCAAGCACCACCATAAGTTCCCGATCTTCTAACCCCTGGTACTCGCGCTCGCTGAAAATACTCAACAATAAGAAGAAACGCCGTTTTCGGACATCCAAAAATAATAAGACCACTGAATTTTGGGACAGGTATAATGAATGCGCAAATGAGTACAAACGTATGCTTGCGGAACAGAAACACATTTTCAACCAGGAAACCCTCCCATCCCTGCTACTCAATAACCCTCGCCAATTGTGGCAAGTTGCTAACCATACTCCATGCTCGCCACATAACCAGGAAGATGAATTCAAAAACAAAACAGAGGCAAGTCAGTGTGCCTCTGTTTTAAATAACATGTTCTCAGCTCAGTTCACCATCCCAAGTCCTTTAGTATTGTTACCAACCATTGCTTACAGCCTCCCTTGGATGGATCCAATATATGTCGATTTTGACGGTATTGTTGAAATTATTAAATCCATGAAAGTGTCTTCATTTCGTGGCATCCATAACATCAACTTTGAAATACTGCAGCGCACAGTGTGTTCGTCGAGTATTTTTTTAACCAAAATTTTTCAGCAGTTCTTGAATACAGCGGCAGTTCCTGACGATTGAAGGATCGGAAAGATCACTCCGGTCCAGAAGAACGGCATTAAATCACCTCCCTTAATCTATAGGCCTATCTCTCTTACTTCTGTACCTTCAAAAATACTGGAGCACATAATCTATAAGAATCTACTGTCGAGATTGGTTACAATGAAGTCAACGGGGATTGGAAATCACTTCGCTATATTCGCTATTTCGTTATAACCAACTTCAGTTAACGAAAAGCAAAAGGGAATGGGAAATCGTGATAGCTTCGCTGAAGCCGCTATTTCGTTATAACCGGTCTCGACAGTATCCATTCAACTCGATCCCATTTCCTTTTTTAACAAGCCACAGCACAACTTCCGTCGAAACTTTTCTTGTTAAACACAGCTTCTTTGCTTAACCCACGACCTTTTTTCTAATCTCAACTCCGTTTTTTCAACCAATGCTGTAATTCTTGACTTTGCTAAAGCTTTTGACGAGGTACGCATAACCAACTGCTACTAAAACTTTCGTCGTTAAACCTTGACACCTCATGGATTAAATCTTTCTTCTCGCAACGAAACCAGTTTGTTTATTCTAACGACTAGGGCTGGGCGTCGATTAAAAATTTTAACCCGATTAATCGCTAGCCTTTAACCGATTAATTAGATGATTAATTGGTTGCATTGATTTTTATAAATAATATATTAAAAACAATGCAACAACTCGTCTTGCCTTTGAAGACTTATTTTACTCTGTGACACGGCGCAAAGGACATTCACAATTGAGGATACATATAGTTCAACGTTTCAAAGACACACATATTTTTGCTCCAGCTCCGAAGAGAAAGAAGTTTGTCCACATTCTCTGACAGGAAGACAAGAAGTCAGGGCTTGGGCGATGCTTTCTTCTTCTTTCAGAGAAAGGGGCCTCGATGAGAAGGCGTTGATTGTTGTTTGAGTTTTGGAGAATGGTCTTTGCTGCAGCGGCGTACATGGGTGCTTCGCTCGTAGGTAATACTGAAGCGAACTTAAGCTTCCACTGTACCAAAAACGGCTTTTTACAGGTGATGCAGTGAACTTCCTTGGAGTTAAAAACTTCACCGCTGGAGTTTACTTTAAACCCAAACTTTCCAGCTAGATTGCCTTTCATACTCGTGAACTCGTCCATTTTTACAGGCCGAATACGGGAACAAGTAACCACAGGGTTGTTAGCTTCCCAGCTTGTTTTTCTGCTTGTTTGTCTTGCCTGGGCGAGATGTGTAATAGATCCTCAACACGTGAAGTTCCGCGGTCGCGCGGGCATCAATTGCGGGCCCGGCTTGTTCGTCTGGCCTCGGCAGAACTGTAATGTATATCCTCGAACACGTGATGCTATGGAGCACGAGAATTGAACCTTGCTCATAGCACCTGGCTAGGTACTGAAAACCAGGATAGAGCCATGCGTGCGTCCATTTGACTTCTTTTTGAATACCGATTAAAAAACTGATTAACCGGTTAAAACATTTGATCGCGAATAAAGCCTTAATCGATTAATCGGAAGGTTAATCGGTCAATTGCCCAGACCTACTAATGACTCTTCATCTGCCTTGGCCCCTGTTACATCCGGTGTGCCCCAAGGAACAGTCCTTGGTCCATTACTCTTCCTTATTTACTTGAACGACTTTCCACTTCAGGTGTCTTCATCAATGTGTTTATTTGCAGATGACTGTGTCGTTCATCGTAAAATAACATCTCCCTCCGATTCTGCAGCACTACAAAATGGCCTTGACTCTATTAATAAACGATGTAGTAATTCTCAAATGTCCCTCAACATTAACAAATGTAAACACATGCACTTCTCTCGTTCCACCTTCCAAACTTCCTCTCCTCTTACCCTTAATGTTGTTCCTCTACAACAAATTGACACATACAAGTATATTGGTGTTCTTCTAACTAAAAACCTCTCTTATGACACTCAACCGCAGCCTAGGTTACCTCCGTCGCAACTTCAGATCTGTCTCAAGTAACCTAAAGCAACTCCTTTACATTTCCTTAGTACTATCGAAATTAGAGTATGCATCCTCCCATTTGGCACCCTCACCTTTCTTCACTAACAGAGAGTATTCAAGCTGTGCAAAACCGTGCTGCCCGGTTCATTCAATCTGACTACTCACGTTTTTCGAGTGTTACTCGAATAAAATCTTATATTTCTCTTCCCTTACTCGCTATCCGATGGAAAATTTTTCATCCGTGCCTTTTGCACGAAGTCTATTATTCCCCCTACTACATGAGACTCTTCTCACTCGCCAACGTATTCGTCTTCTAGACTAGATCATCCTAAATAAATAGCCCGGCCGCAATT